CAAATTAGGTAATTAGTATCACGGATTATTACCAAAAACTAATCAAAACCTAGCATTAGTTCAGAGCATCTATGTACCAAGTTTCATCAAAATCCAATGAGTGGTTGTTTAGATATCAGTGGAACAGTCATGGAACCACTAAAAAATAGCTAATTATCATGCAAATTAGGTAATTAATATGCACGGATTTTTACCAAAAATTAATCAAATCTGCGCATATGTTCAGAGCATCTATGTACCAAGTTTCATCAAAATCCAATGAGTGGTTCTTTAGATATCAGTGGAACAGTCATAGAACAGCTAAAAATTAGCTAATTATCATGCAAATTAGGTAATTAACGAGCATGGATTTTTACCAAAACCTAATCAAATCTGCGCATTGGCCCAGAGCATCTATGCACCAAGTTTCATCAAAAACCGATGTATGGTTCTTGAGATAGCAGTGGAACAGTCGGACACACATACACACACACACACATACACACATACACACATACACACATACACACACACATACAGACACACTAACTGCAAAGACTCCCATTTTGTGCTTCGCACATGGGAGTCAAAAATTAGTTGTTTTTAAAAAATAAACTGGTCATCTGAAGAATAATTTAACATTGTTCACAGTGATAACAGCTCATTCTCGAAAGGAAGCTTACCCGCTCACGCTAGTCATGATGAAAATCATACACGTGTACTCTTGAATAGACAGACGTCAATGACTACGGTAAAACTTAGACTCTATTTTAGCCGGCAGGATTGATTGAAATGTCCGAAAAATGACGCCAAAATACACCTTAAAAGTCCCATTTTATTTTCTTAAATCCCATTTTATTTTTTAATCCAAGGGCGAATTTACGGCAGAATTTGGTCCCTCAAATAAGGGACACGTGAGCTTTGATTCTAACCGGATACATTGCACTGGGTCGGGGAGATCGTTTGCTAAACTTCCATGTATCTTTTGTCCAATGGGTACCTGTACTTCGAACATTCGCAAGTTTTTCCTAGGTAGTGCGAGACAGCTTTGTCTTTTGACCTATTAGTTTTGTGCTGACCTCTTCTCCGCGTCTTGATGTTTTGTTTTGCTTGTCATAATACTCACTGATTGATGACTTTGTTTAGATTTTGAGTTACAACTCGGCCACGACCTTTGCTTTTACCGTGAAACATGAGGAAGTTTACGTCAATTGACGGACATTGCATTTTTTAAAAACTAATGAAGCACACTGTCTATCATCCCCATTTTTTCATTTGCTGATTTCTATTCTGAAAAATTCGACCGTCCGAAAATGCACCTTAATTTTGACTCAAAAACACGTCACATATCGAACACCAATTATTTAAAACCGGTCGAAATTTTGGAGTTTT